GGCGGGGAGGAGGGAGGAGAAGAGGCAGGAGGGGGAGGACGGAGGAGGACGAGGTAGGAGGAAGGACGAGGTAGGAGGAGGAGGAGGAGGAGGAGGCGGAGGATGAGGAGGAGGAGGAGGAGGAGGAGGAGGAGGAGGAGGAGGAGGAAAGGAGGAGGAGGAGGAGGAGGAGGAGGAGGAGGAGGAGGAGGAGGAGGAGGAGGGGCCCGTAGCCATTTTGGCTCAAGTCCGTAGCCGTTTTGGCACAGGACCTGGCCTCACTGGCAAGGGGGAGCAGCGGCCCCCACAGTGCCCCTCGTTTGCCTGGCCAGACGAGGTTTCGCTTTTTGTGAGCTCCTGTCGGAGCAAGTGCCTCCTGTTCTCCCTGTCACGCTTCCAGCACGACATGGATGGCAAAGGTGCTCACAATTGGACGTGCACCAACGTGCGGTGCGGATACAAAGGCAATTTTCAGTGGCGGAGCAGCTGTCGCATCTGTGGCACTGAGCCCCACAAACCCAGAGTTGCAGCGCAGCGTGCACCCACAGGCAAGTGGAAGGACGGACCTCCTCGCTCCGCTCCTCCTGTTCCCGTCTTGTCTGAGGAGCTCGTTGCGGTGTATGCCAAGATGGATCTCGCAGACTACACCATCGTGTCGCAAGGGTGGTCTGCAAAGCAATTGGCTCGAGTTGCAGCGGCTCGCAGTCTTTCCAACGGCGATGTGCTTCCTACGGCGCGTGCTGCTCGTCAGGCGTCTGACGCCATTCAGCAGAAGCTCGAGCAGGCCCAGAGTAAGTACGACAAGGCGGCGGCTGCGGCGGCCAAAGCCATGCAGTACATGCAGCAGTGCGCAACCAACTTGGCTGAGTGCAAAGCCAAGGCAGACGAGGCCGCCAGCAAAGCTGCCGCTGCATACGCAGCGGTCGGCGGCCGCGCTGCCGCCGCCACCGACCCGCTCGTGCAGCTGCAGTCCCTCGCCGCCTCCCTCTCCGACACGCTGCCTGACGCAGTCGCCGCGCTCAAGCCCATTGCCGACCTTGTCAAGCAGCAAATGGACAAGCAGCGCGCCGACGCGGAGGCCGAGGCGGTGCGGCAGCTGCAGCAGCAGCAGCAGCAGCAACAGGAGCAGCCTCCTCCTGCTGGTGCTGGCGTGCCTGGCGTCCCAGATGCGGCCTTCTGGGAGCATTTCGGCAAGCCCGAGTTCTTTGGCAGCTTCCTCAGGGCCCAGGGCATCCCCGTCAGTAGCGACGACGACGCCATGGGCGACGAAGAGGCCGACAACGACGACGGTGCCGACGAAGGAGAGCCCAAGAAGGTCAAGGTCGGCAGGGCCCTCTACACCAGTCTCTTGCAGGCCATGCAGGATCACGCAGCCAAGAAGGCCAAGACGGCGGCAGCCGACTCGTCTTCCTAACACGTGGTCCTTTGTCACCGCCAACGTCTCAGGCCGTGCAGGGTTGGAGGCCATTCTCAACTCACAGTCAGTCATCGACGCCGACGCCGTCGGCGTGCAGGAGCACCACTTCATCGAGTGCGCAGGCTGGGAGCAGAGGCTCCGTCACATGGGCTGGGGAGCTTCGGCTACCGCAGCCAGGGCCACAGGGCAGGGAGGCACAACAGGTGGTCTCCTTCAGATGGTGCAGCAGCGGCACGGGCTCTCGCTGCTGATCGGTCAACCTCCAGTTCTTGAGCCTGCGCGCATCGCAGTCAGGCACGTGTCAGGAGTGGTGCCTGGAGGCATCTTGTGGGCTGTAGTGTACATGCATGACTCGCAAGGCTTGTCATCGCTCAATTGGGATTTGTTGTGCAAGCTGGGGGCGGTCATCAGGCAGTTCGGTATGCCGTTCATTCTTTCTGGAGATTGGAACTTGAGCCCAAACGAGCTGATGGGTTCTGGCTGGGTGGAGGCCGTCTCTGGACACATTCTGTCCTCTCAGTTAGCCACGTGCACAAGTGGAAAAGGCAGGGTACTGGACTACTTCATCGTGTCGGAGGGGCTGCAGTATCGTCACAAGCTTGCCGTGCTTACCGGCGTGGGCACCACGCCGCATTATCCAGTTCTTTTGTCTCTCGAGGGATTGCGACAAGTCCCCACGCTGCCGCAGATTCGAGTACCTCGCATGTTTCCTCGTCAGCGGCCTCAAGGACCCATGCAGGAAAGCACTCGCTGGCAGTCAGTTACGGAGCTGGTGCTTGCACAGGCAGGCACACATGAGCTGTGGGAGAGTTTCGTGAATACCATGGAGCTCGAGTTCGTCGACATCTACCAGATCAGCAGTGACGAGGCGCATCTGTACCAGGGTAGGGCCAAGCCTTTGCAGCGCAAGCGTGCTGCAGCGCGCAAGCCGTCAGTCATGCCCTACCCGCGTCTCTCGCCCTTCGCCGCGTGGTGGAGGTTAGTAGCGCAAGGCTTTACCGAGCTCGGCAAGTTTCAGTCCGCATCGTATCGTCGCACCACGTTGTCGTTGTGTGAGAAGCTTGCCGAGCAAGGGAGCAAGTTCACCGATGCCAGTGCGCGACCTTGGGTCACTTTGCTCTGGGCCGCCCCCTCGCTCTCCTGGGAGCTTTCGGCTGCGCTCGCCAACCTTGCCAGACAGCTCTCAGCCAAGCATCAGCGCGCAGCTGAGCAGCATAGGGACTCCAGCTGGAAGAGTTGGGTCAAATCTCACAGCAGTGCAGGCGGAGGAGCCCTTTTCAACCTCTCGAAGCCCCCCACCCCATGGCACAGCAGTCCCAATTTTAGGCAGGACGGCTCGCTGCCGCCAACGCCAGCCAGTCAGGAGGGGGAGATGGCGCTTTTGGTCTCTGAGTGGGGGGCGTACTGGGAGGTGGGGTCCCTGGCCGATCCGCTTCTGTGGCCATCCGACATGGGCCCTGAGCTTCCTTATTTCGATCTGGACGATCTTAAAGCATGTCTCCGCAGCTTTCGAGCCAGCAGCGGCGCTGGCTACGATCAGATTTCGCCCCGTCAGCTGCTCGAGCTGCCAGACGAAGGCCTTGAGTGTTTTCGCCAGCTAATATTCACCATCGAGAGCAGTTTCGAGTGGCCACAGCTGTGGTCCAAGATAGTCTTCATATTGAAGCGTACAGGCGGTCTGAGACCCATAGCTTTGATGCACGTCACGTCCAGGGTCCAGGGACGACTTCGCCGCCCTCTCATTCGGCGATGGCAGCAGCAGAACTTTCGTGAGTTCTGGTGGTCGACTCGGGGGAGGGGGTCGGGTCGGCTGGTCTGGGTTCAAGCTGCCTTCGCCGAGTGGGCCCAGGGACGTGACCTTTTTGCTGGCACGGTCTTGTTGGACCTTCACAAAGCGTTTGAAAACGTGCGACACGGAG